ATATTCGAAGTTCGGATCCGTTTCCAGTACCAGTAAATTTTGATTGTTTTGTGGTGAATCCACATACAGGTGACCTCAAAGTCAAGATTTTTCTTTACACGGCGTAAATATAAGTTATATAGCGAGAGCCCCTCGTATATCTTCCTAATAGCTATAATTATATCTTATCTTAGTAAACAACCCTATGTTATATATTGATGGTTGTGCCCTTCAGGCATCAGTTTAATCCTATTACTCTTGCATTGAACTCACTTAGGTTAGGTTTGCTAACATATCGTTGTTAGTCTAAACATTATATTTATAGTAGAATAAAGTATCAAATCGCTTGTAAGTCGTTTTAAAAACACGATTCCGCGACGCGATACCATCATTGGCGCAGCTAGCAGTTGGATCAGAAGACTGGATCAGAACTCAGCAGAGGACTTCCAGGCTGATTTCAATCACTAACTTCTGGAACCGACGAGACAGGAAGATCAGGAGAAGCCAAAGGACGAAGATCGACGCCAGAGTGCTGTGTCTTCAAAGTCTGAAGTTAATTCAAGTCGAATTTTCCTTGTCTCTCCTCTCACCTTCTTTTTTAATTTAAGATTTTTGGTGCAGTTTTGTAAAATTTAGATTTTGCTGAAGATTGCTCAAAACATTAGTATTAAGTTAGTTTTCGTTCAAGAGCTACATTTTTGAAGAGAACTTAATTTAGTAATTCGTCGAGAGCTACATTTTCGATTTAGATTAGTTACTATTTTTTAAATTTTTGCCGGTTGCAAAATTATTAATTATAAGGAAATTTTCACGTTAAAATAAGACTTAGGTAGAATCTCATTAAATTTTATTACATTCGTATTCACTTGGTATTTTCACATTTTCATACTTTTACATTTTTAATTTTTACACATTTTACATTTTTTATAGACCATAACTTTATGCAAAGATTCTAATTCGGCTCTAGATACCATTACAAACTTATTAGAAAACATGTCTCTTAATAACAGTACAATCACCGTTCCAAGCATACACGCCGCAAAAGCTATTGCAGATTTTCTGCCATATTTCGATGGTGATACCCAACAATTGGAATCATTCATCTTTAGATGCGAAAACATTTTATAATACTTATGGTAGATCGAACGATGCCAGTTTGAACGATTTCGTCTTTAATGCAATTTGTTCAAAACTAAAAGTAACGTTTACAACTTTTTAATGTGTAGACCAGATCTCATTTCTTGGCCTCTAATTAAAAATGCACTCAGAGAGCATTTCGGTGACAAAATTGACAGACAAACCCTTACGAGAGGAATTTCGCAATTTTCAAAATATAGAAATGAAACCATTTTGGAATTTTTAGGAAGATTAAAATTAATTAAATCAAGAGTTGAAGTTAAAATCCAGACAGATCCTTCACTCACCCCTGATCAGAAGTTTTACTCATCAGCCAAAATGAATTGAATGCACTAGACGTATTGACCGCAAATTGTGACGATAGACTTAGACTTCTGTTAGACATTCAACAGCCCTCCGACTTATCAGATGCGACCAACGTTGTTACTAAACATTTCTACAATGAGATGAGAATAGATGCACTGACAAAAAGACAGAATTTCGGACACCCTAGCCACTTTCAATCACATTCACATAACCTAGACGTTACAATTATAATAACTCATCACGCCAAAATTATTACCCATCTCAAAGATACAACCCTTCATACACTCAACCTAATACCACACATATTAATTATCAACAACCACCAGCCATACATGAACAATTTCCTTCTCAGGAGTTTCACGCTCAATATTCACCACAAAATCATTTTACTCAGACACATCAACCTTCCTTCAATGAAGTAGACAATTTCTATCTCAACCTATTCCATTACCAAAACCCCTTCCAATTAAACAAAACTTCCCGACAAACAGACAGGTATTCGGACCACCTCAGTCCCAACGCTCAACAAATGTTTTTCGCCCCAAAAACTCATATAAACCAGCACATAATCCAGAACCTATGGACACGTCTTCAAGACAATCAAACAGACAAAACCATAATCAGTTTAAACCTTCCGGACCCCGAAACTTCATTTCACAAGAAGTATATCATGCTGAAGAGCCTAAAGTACACTCTCATTCTTCGCAACATACTTATCAATATCCTTCCCAAAATTTTCCTCAGTATGACCAAGATGACCACGATGAACCTTACAATAATCAAGAATTATATTCTGAGAATCACAATTATTATTCAAATAACTCTCAAAATCAACATTTTCGAAAAGATCCTTCGACAGATTTAAGATAGACCTGAACAATATCAATCTAGCCACTCTCTCCCATATATCCAACTCCGAAAAATCCCAGTAAAATTACTCATAGATACAGGTTGCCACGGTTCCCTCCTTAGACCTTACATCGCCGAAAAGTTTTTCCCAGATCAAATTTTCCATTACAATACGCCCATTTCCACTTGCGCAGGCACAAAGACCAGTCAGTTTAAAGCCTCTATCCCACTACTTGAAGAATTAGGTATTCCCGATGAATTCGAATTTATTCTTTTTCCATTTCATGAATACTTCGACGGAATCATTGGAATCCGAGATTTGAGAAAATTAGGATTAACAGTAGATCTCGAAAATCAATTACTCAGAAACCCTACTCTTCAAATCCCATTTCAATTTCGGACTGATTTTGACATCCAAAAAATAGAAATTCCCCCTAGATCAATTGTAGCAAAAGAAATCAGGACTTCTCTTCCAGAAGATTACTGAAATAATTTTAGATTCTGTTCTTTATAAGAATGGTGAAATTGAATTACCCAGTTGCATTACCAAAGTAAAAAACCAAAAAGCCACTTTAGAAATTAAAAACAACACCAATTATTCTCAAATTTCAATTTAGAATCAAAACTTCCTCCAAATATTTGGAACCATTTTCAACTCTCAAGATTACGAACTTTTTTCAATGGAAAATCACTCAATTAATCTCACCCCTGATAACTCATTACCCGTATCATTTGATCTTCTTAGAACCAACCATTTAATTCAGAGGAAAAACAAGTACTGCGGAAAGTTGTCTCTGAATTTTCCGGAATTTTCCACTCAGAAGATTCTCCCCTCACATTTACTAACAAAGTCAAACATGAAATTAGAACGACTGACGACATCCCTATCCACACTAAGTCATACAGGTATCCCTACGTTCATAAACAAGAAGTATCTAGACAAATTGAGAAAATGTTAAACGACGGTATCATTAGGCCCAGCCAAAGTCCATGGAGCTCTCCAATTTGGATTGTTGCAAAAAAACTAGATGCTAGCGGCAAACAAAAGTGGAGAATTGTTGTCGACTATAGGAAACTTAATGAAAAAACCGTAGATGACCGCTATCCCCTTCCAAATATCACTGACATACTTGACAAACTAGGACGATGCAACTATTTTACCACTTTAGATCTCGCCTCCGGCTTTCATCAAATTGAACTTCACCCAGACTCCATTCCCAAAACGGCTTTTAATGTCGAAAATGGACATTATGAATTTGTCAGATTACCCTTTGGATTAAAAAATGCCCCCAGTACATTCCAGAGAGTTATGGACGATGTACTCAAAGAGCTTCAAGGAAAAGTATGTCTCGTTTATATGGATGACATAATAATATTTTCCAGCAGTCTCCAGGAACACATATCTAATCTGAGAAAAGTGTTTCACAAGCTTAAAGAAGCAGGGTTAAAAATTCAATTGGACAAATGCGAATTTTTATGCAAGTCCGTAGAATTTTTGGGACACGTTGTGACTCCCGAAGGCATAAAGCCTAACCCGAAGAAAATCGAAGCAATTAGGAAATTTCCCATTCCTAGAACTGCCAAAGAGATCAAATCTTTCTTAGGTCTCATTGGTTATTATAGAAAATTTATCAACAATTTCGCTCATTTGACAAAGCCCCTTACTCAATGCCTCAAGAAAAATGTAAAAATTCAACATACACCCGAATTCATCAAGTGTTTTGAAACTTGTAAAAATATTTTGATGAATGACCCCATATTACAGTACCCAGACTTCACAAAACCGTTCAATATTACAACAGACGCTTCAAATTTTGCTATTGGCGCTGTTCTTTCACAAGGTACGATTGGTAAAGATCTCCCAATTGCATACGCAAGCAGGACCTTGAATCCAGCTGAATGCAATTACTCTACTACCCAAAAGGAATTATTAGCCATAGTTTGGGCAGTACAGTATTTCCGTCCCTATGTTTTTGGCACTAAATTCAATATAATTAGTGACCATAAACCTCTACAATGGTTGTTCTCAATCAAAGAACCCAGTTCCATGCTTGTTAGATGGCGCTTAAAATTGGAACAATACGACTATAAAATTATTTACAAGAAAGGCAGTTTTAATACTAATGCCGATGCCCTATCACGAGTAGAAATTCACCCCCTTGACCTAGTGACAGACAATCTTTCAACTTTAGGAAACTTTGACAGCTCAGAACCTTTTAACATTGACGACATTCTTAGCGACGTTTTCCCAAGTCACCCAGAGACCCTACCGACCTTACCAAATGACTTTGGAGACATTTTAGAGACTTTCGATAATCACCAATCTCCGGATGACGATAGTAATACCAATCTTCATCATCAATCATCATCCAATCCTAAACCAAAAATTAAAGTTCTCCAGAACATTCTTATCCGTCCCTCAGAAAAAGTCCGCTCAGACAGTGAGACAGTTCATAGTTCTTTTGAAAATCCGATAATAGAAATCCCATATACAGACAAAGTATTAAACATCCATCAGAACCAAGTTATTTTAGGCATATCACCCTGTAAATTATTTCAATGCCACTTTGAGAAAATTTTCAAAAAGAAAAGGCATACATTTTTAGTTAGGAAAGATTTATTAGATGTAAGCAAAATAAATGAACTAGAAGAAATTTTCGCTAAGCTGATTAAAGAGTATATCAGACCTAATCAACACTACTGCGTATATTTTAAGAATTTAGATTTAGAAAAACCATTCACTAATTTTTTACAAAAGTATTTTCAAAATAAAGCATTTACAATGGTTATAAGTAGGAAAATGCTAGAAGACGTAGTTGATATTGATGAACAAAATAATAAAATTAAATTATATCATGAAACCAAAACTAGCCATAGAGGTATAAACGAAAATATTTTAGCGATTAAGAAGAATTTTATTGGCCTAATTTAGATGTAGACGTTAGAAATTACGTAAATTCCTGCGATATATGTCAGAAATCGAAATACGAAAGGCATCCCAATAGGTTAATCTTTAAACCAACTCCCATAGGATCTAAACCATTTGAACATTTATATATAGATTCTTTTAAAATTTCAAATCAATATTTTGTAACAGTTACAGATAGTTTTTCAAAGTTTTCACAGGCATTCCCAGTTAGTTCATTAAATGCAATCGAGACAACTAGTACTATGATCCAATTCTTTTCATTTTTTGGCATTCCTCATAAAATCACATGCGATAATGGTACCGAATGGAAAAATAATATTTTCCAAGATCTTTGTAGTATGTACGACATCTCTCTTCATTATACAACAGCATATAATCCCAATAGTAATAGTCCAGTGGAGAGATTTCATTCCACTATTATAGAAACAATAAGAACCTTAAGAGAGGAAAAACCTCACCAAAATATTAGAGATCTCATGCATTATGCAATTTTATCATACAACAATAGCATTCATTCTTCAACTGACTTTACCCCTTTTCAAATTGCTAAAGGACAGCTAGATTTTAGAAATCCCTTCGAGACAACGACAAACGAACAGATTTCCACATATATGACAGAACATTCCCAAATCCTTAAACTTTTGTCTCAACAACTAACAGAAAAGTTAGAACGTAAACAAAGACAAAATTTAGAAAGAGAAAATAGACTTCGAAATCGTTCTCTTTCGCTTGATGTAAAGCAACCACTTTTTTCATTAAATAATTCCAAAACAAAGAAAGACCAACCACTTTACAAAAAACTGACCGACCCTACAGTTACTGGTGACAATAAAGTTATTTCAAAAAATAAAGTTACGCATCAAAGACAGCTCAAACCACAACGAAAACTCATTGTTACAGGTAGACATGACAGGAACAAGGCTGCTACACCTACTCCTGATGATAGCTCTGACGATGACATTCCCCTTTCCCAATTATTCAGTCAAAATCACAAGATTAACAAACCCGATCCTTCCACTTCAGCTAGGTAAAGCATATATCTTAGAAAATCAGCACACATTCTTATATCATATTAATATTAGTACCCCGTATATATTTTAGATAGCATAGGGCAACATATTTTAAGAACGCAAGTATTTTTGAAACAAAATTCCAATCACTTTTCAATTCAGCTTTTACAAAAATTGGAACATGCTATTGCATTGAAAAATAAAATCGACAATAAATTTGGCATTTTACATAATAAACGCATTAAAAGAGGTTTATTCAATGGTGTTGGTACACTTTCGAAATATTTGTTTGGAACGATGGACTCCGCAGATAAAGAAATCATTAACAATTATTTGGATACTATTAAATCTAATGAGTTGAACTTACAATCTCGCATAAACAAACAACAAACAATATTAAGGGATATTACCGCTCATTATGAGATTACTTTTCAGACCATTAGGGATAACGAGAAAATTATTGTTAGTCATCTAAATGACTTGATCAACAACAATAAAATTTTAAGGGAACAAGATAATGTATTATCACTCAGCCTCACTATAGATAAAATTATTTTGGAATTACAAGCTTTATATGAAATAATTAGCAATTTACAAACAGCCTTATCGTTTGCAAGAATACATATTTTACATTCTGCAATTCTAGACACAAATAGTAATTCCTCAATTTTAAATTATTTATCCAAAGATTATAGTAGCGAAAGAATTCCGAAATTTGATCACGTAATTGACTATTATTCGTTATTTACAACCGATGTAACTATTTTCGATAATATCATTTTATTTAAAATTTATGCACCATTAATCTCGAACTCCTTTCATTATTTTAGTGTTTTTCCTGTTTTTCAATTTAACTATACCCTAATCCCAAAATCCCAATACCTTCTTTTCGACTTGAAAAACCACTGGAACACAGACCACCTTTGCACAGAAGTCGCAAATAAATACTTCTGTAAACACGAAGACTTATTAGAAGCAGATCCATGCCTAGTAGAAATTATCAAAAATGGAAGAAACACTTGTCCCATAACAAGAATACAGCAATCAAGAACTCTGGTACAGCAGATATCTTCATCTAAAGTAATCATATGTCCAAGAGAGCCCACTACAGTGCATTCGTCATGTCCAGAAGACGGCCTGATAGTTATTTCTCAACCAAGTCTCATAGAACTCCAGCGATGCAGCTTAGAAATCAATCAACACAAGTTCTATCCCTCAGATCGCATCGACCATGAAACAATTTTCCCTTTACCAGCTATAAGCCTGACCAATTTCACGAAGCAGAACCTTGTTGATGTAACAAAATTCAACTTGAAGACAATCCAGAATCTTCAAATATCCCAAGAACAAATCAACGAAGACAGTATCCAGTTCCCAGATCGTCCCATAGAGAAGACAAATCTAATCATATTTTTACTTCTTCTATCAACTTTCATTGGTTACATCATTTACCAAATTTTAAAGAAGCTAAGAGAAGCAAGAAGACGTAGAGAAGAAGAAGCAGTTCCGGATTCGCAAACTTTGGATCCCCCGTTTGCTCATCTTCGGCAGGGAGGAGTTATATAGCGAGAGCCCCTCGTATATCTTCCTAATAGCTATAATTATATCTTATCTTAGTAAACAACCCTATGTTATATATTGATGGTTGTGCCCTTCAGGCATCAGTTTAATCTTATTACTCTTGCATTGAACTCACTTAGGTTAGGTTTGCTAACATATCGTTGTTAGTCTAAACATTATATTTATAGTAGAATAAAGTATCAAATCGCTTGTAAGTCGTTTTTAAAAACACGATTCCGCGACGCGATACCATCATTTATACTAAGTGACATATAAATCCGAACACCCAGTTTAAATGGTTTTATTTTAAAAGTTGGTGAATGTATTTATTTTACTGTAAATAACAAGTGAAAAAATTTTCAGCCTTATCAGTTGGACATTCCGGGTTTTATACTGCTTTTTTTTAATTCACTAACGCTCTAAAAATGAATATTTCAGCCGCAGTAAAGAATCAACGTTGGCGGGTTTTGGTTCTTGACATCCTTTACGATCGGTTACGATGCCTAGAGTACGGAGACCTGTACGATTTCGTCAACTTAGTAAGTTTGATAGGGGCCGTATAGTGGGACTTCGAGAAGCTGGACTTTCTTTTCGGGCAATTGCAGTTAGAGTGCAAAGAAGTGTAGACACTGTGGTTAGGTGTTGCCAGGCATGGCCGTACGCAAAGAGCAAGGGGCACTGGACTCCACTACCAGGTCCATTGCAAATGAATGGTTTGCAGAACACGGAAGACCTATTGGCATACGAAGTGTTTACCGACGAATGAGAAGTTTTGGCTTGTTTTCATACCGGCCACACTGGGTCCTCCCTTTAACTCGAGAACACCGACGTAATCGCCTTGAGTGGTGCAAACAACGGTCACTCTGGGATCAAGAGTGGAACACTATTGTCTTTAGTGACGAGTCTCGATTTTGTTTAGGCATGCACGATGGTCGTGTCAGGGTTAGAAGGCGTCGTGGTGAAAGGAGGAATCCAAAGTTTTTTGTTGAAAGACATGTTCATCACACTGTTGGAGTTATGGTTTGGGGTGCTATAGCTTATGGTTCCAGGCCACCTTTAATCTTCATCAGAGGTAACATGAACGCGCAGCGTTATATCCACGAAGTTCTAGAACCCCTTCTTTTACCCTATCTTGACACCCTGGCAGATCCCACTTTCCAAACAAGATAATGCCCGACCACATGTTGCAAGAGTCACAATAGACTTCTTTCAACATAATGATGTCACATTGTTACCATGGCCACCAAAATCTCCCGACTTATCCCCAATTGAGCACGTGTGGGATATGATGGGTAGGAGATTGCTCAATTTGCAACGTCCTCCTCAGACTCTAGAAGCACTTCGAGAGGAGTTGGTGGTTGCCTGGAATGAGATACCAGAGGAGGACATTGGCCACCTGATCAGAAGCATGCCTAGGCGCGTTGGAGAATGCGTAGCACATCAGGGTGCATCCACACATTATTAAAGGTCAAAGGGCTTTAAAGCAGTGCAATCATTTTGAAATTTTTATCATTTACTTATTATGCTTCATTAAGTACTTATACAAAATTTTATTAAAATAAAACCATTTAAACTGGGTGTTCGGATTTATATGTCACTTAGTATATCTTGGAAAAAATTAGCAGTTTTTCTAGTAACAAATACACAGTCTTAAGATCACCTAGATATTGGGCTCCCCAAATTAAATCAAACCTAATCCGGTCCTGCATCTCCATCAGATCAAACGTGAACACGTACGATGCGCATTAGTACTCATTACGCGTTGTTAAACAAAACCTTTACACATCGGTTCAAACATAACAAAAATGACACACTCATACAACGATATCGGAGTTGTCCATACTATTTTAATTTACGGTGAGAGTCTTCGAAATGCTACAGAGGCTTCGCGAGTGCATGCAGATCGTTTTTCAAGATCCTTCGTGATTTCTTTTTTGTTTGGGGTGAAATGAAATATTTAGTGTATAAACCTGAGGTGAACACGGTGGACGAACTACGTGTGCGAATGTAGCAATCTGCTGCATTCATTAGAGAAAGCCTACATCGATGCTTGGCTACGTAGAGCACATACAAGGGGCAGAGCTACACTGAAAATTTATTTTCGTTGAACTGAGTGCTTTTTAATTTTTTTTACAGCTTCGCTGATGTTTCACCATACATTAGCTTTTTTATTAAAAACGTAGGTAGTTGTTTCTGAAAAGGAAAGACACAACTTTCAGGCCATCCAGTATATATAGGATTGACTTTTTTCTGGTTAACGTTTCGGCCACCTCGGTGGCGTTTTACTTCCTAGGCTACTAGCAAGGAAGTATCGTAATCGCGAGGAATTCCGAAAATGACATGAAAAACCCAAGACCGAATTGGGTCTGTCTGTCCGATAATCCTTGGCCCGACCATAACATTGAGAAGTAACGCTAGGATTTTAATGAAATTTTCATTTAAGGTTACTACTATACCAAGATCGAAAAGCGTAGTACATAGTTTTTGAAAATCGTTCGAAGTTCGTTTTCTGGCGTTTCAGAAGATCCTGATTATTTTCAGAAAAAAATTGCAGGGGTTAAAAATTGTACGTGGAGAGTGGAAGGTCGAGAATAGCATACCACCGTAAGACTACTATGTAAGGCCTGCAAGCCTTACAGGCTTTCGCGATTTCATCCCGGTATTTTGCTCAGAGTATCAGCATATCCATGGTCTTATCGTTATTCGAAAGTCGTGATCGCGTCACGGTTTTAAACATCTAATACCAAAAAGTAACAATATCAAATATCACAGACATTCAAAAATAATCATATCGATTATCTCTACACGAGGTTATCTGTTGTTTTGGATGTACCAGACACATGACCTTCACTCATTGCTCCAAGACGCCAAACGACTTCGTCCAGAAAACATGCACAGAATAAGTTTCAGATGTTCAGTTTCACAATGAAGTCTTCAACCAGTTAAAGTAAACTCTGCAATGGACTACGGACAAGACGGAATGAGAAGGCCTATATTACGACCTATTCACATTTGACGTATAATAACGCGAGTTTATTGAGGTGTTCGCAAACGGCCGAGAGAAAGCAGACGACGGTTATTGCGCGCATTTTTGCGAGAGGAATTTTCTTTCTTGCCTCAAATCGGCAGTATCAGCACGTACCCAGCCTTATACTGTGTCCGTACGGATAAATTTAGAACTATTAAATTCCTTGTTGTGAGATTATATTAGCTCATTACTCATAAAGTCTCGTTAGAATTCATGAAGCAGCTGGCGTTCGTATAATATTAGTTCTGCACAGGGCCGTATTAACAGAATGTCCATGTTCAAGTCACAGAGATTATTTTGTAACTAATCAAAATTAGAGTGTAATAGTTGGATATAAAAGTCGCAAGTAAAACATTGCAGTTTTGTTAAAATTCGAAGCCATACACGTTTTTGACTGGAACAAAATTCATCATATACGTATTCCAAAAATAAAAAAATAACCCGTATCAAGTAAGTGCCCCAAAATCCAGCATCACCGATTTCTCGATCATATGTCACACCTCTAATGGGACGGTTCTATTATTTTCGATGGGGTTCAGTTATAGTTCCATCAAAAGTTCTTAATCAGAAAGATTAACAAAACACATTTACAAAAATCGGGGTTGATGCATTTTGGAATAAAAGCCTGATTCGGGTAAACATGAATAAAATTACATATCCCCCACTAAACCAAAAGCAGTCAAAAAAACATCGTCAGTGCGTCGAAGCATTGTCTCCAACATCATAAAATGATCAGAAAGCTAAGAATCATCACGGTCATTTAGAATCGCCTGCAAGATCAGATAAGTTGAACTTGGAATGAACAAATATACAGACGAATTTTACAAGGAAATTATATCTAAATCTTGCTGTCGTTAAAAGATTAAACATTTAATGCTCCGCCCATGGTAAAAATCAATCGACAAACCGACCGATGCCAGATGCTGTTAATACATTATTACGTGTTATGCTTTCACTGCAGTGGTTGTTGTACAGTTCCAAATGAACAACCCTATCACTTTTAACGTTCTGTGGTTATCGGAATTTGCAGTCGGCAGTGCTGTAACGAACATTTTGAATCGTAACGAAATACAATATCTAGGAACCCAGCCAGCTATCTAAGTTAAACGGGCGCGTAGATTCTGAATCCGATGTCAGTTTGATTCAAGAGGCCGTAACCGACCCATTTTCTTACTAAAATTTGGCTCTCGGTATCATGACGATCATATTCTATACCCTATTCGTAGTCCATATGCGCACCGGCACAACAAAGATGCAGCGCGGCAAAGCGGCAGCCCCCTAAGCGTTGCAATAGATATTGGTCATTCGCACAAGTGCAGGATTCGACAGGATAGAACTCAGGCATCTGCGCATATCTGTGATCTGTATGAATGATCGACTTCTTTCTTGTTTAAGTCGAATGCATAGATTCCAAATATGGTCCCACGACACTTCACAAGTTCAAATTCAGCGTTCCAAATTACCCTAGTGTTCAAAGTTTCGTCCATTTGCAACATCAATTTTGCACGGCACATAATATGAGATTTTGCGATCAACTTTCGTGAAAAGTACGAGAATCCCCCGTCAGCGACAAGCCGGCAACAGCGCGGCCTGCCATCGCCCCAATCAATATGTGACCGTCAAGCGATACATTTTCCACTAGCTGTTATCCGCGTTTCGCACGCTTGAACTTGTAACAACATTAAACACTATTTTTAAGTAAGTAAGCTTATAATGCCCCGGCCACGTTTTGTATCTTGGCTGGCATTGATAATTTGGATACCTTATTAGTGGCGCCCGCAGGGAATAGAGCTAGCTAAGACTACACATACCAACACTTCATACATACCTATTTAACATGCCTAATGTCAACTTTATATAATCAATAACAAAAATCACGAGGTCAAATATGCAAACGCGATAAGATCGTTTGTTCATTTTCGATGGAAAAGTCATAACCGGTTATTTGATCAGTGATGGTTTGTTTAGGGTGGTGAGC